AACTTAATGCAGATATATTAAGTGCATGTTTAAAGCAGAAGATTATAGTAGTGTCTCAGTAAAGCGGAACAGCTGCAATTATTTTAATAGCTAACCACTCTACCATGATATGGATTGAATGCAGATAATTACACTTGCCTGTCTAGGGTCTCTCTATACCTTAAAATACTGTTTCCCTTCTTCAGTTCTCTTACACAGCATTAAGTGCTTTATTAGAATAGTTTTCACTTCTCAGTATGCTGATTTTTCTCTTAAAAGCTTGTAACCATGTCCCAGGAAATGTTCTCCTCCTTGTAAACCATTATGCTGTCTTAATTTACATCCTTCTCGGTACTCTTGTATATTTTGCAATGTCCACAGATACAGACATGTAAGAAGATTTGCCCTGTCTTATGTTTCCTCAGATGTTTCAGAACCAAAACTCTCTTTTATATTGAGGACACCCACTAGTGGTTCTTTTGAATTCTCTGTTTATAGTTTTACAGTGTCTTTCCAAATACAATTCTTTCACTGCAGCCACTCCAGTAACTAAATATTAGGGTTGTACAGTGTTAGCCATGAAGTTTCCAATTTTACTTATAAATGTGAGATGCATATCAGTAAATTAAAAACTCCTTCAAACCATGATTGAGAGAGGCCATTTTATTTGTTTAAAATGGTAAATTGCTTGTTCCATATTTTTTTCATGTTAATTTTTTTTTTTTTTTCACCTTTTTTTTTTTTTTTTTTTTTTAATTTTTTTTTTTAGTTTTTTTTTTTTTTTTTTTTTTTTTTTTTCACCTTGCTTGGTGACAGGGAGCTGCATGGCTGATTCCACACTTTCAGTAGAAAAAAAAAGAGAAACACACCAAGCTGAACTGGTTTATGATTAACTGCATGAGCCTGACTAGTGGATGTTCTCGATCAGAAATAAGATAATGGCAAGAGATGGCCAGTGCTTTGTATTAAGGATTGGTCAAAGTTACTTTAAAAACGGCTTTACCTGGAATATAGTTGACAAAAAGAGCTCATCTGACAGGAGTGAAGGATATGAAAACAGTCATGCAGGCAGTGGGATGCAATAGATATGTGGTCACAATTTCCAGATGCATGTCTCCCTCCTTCCCTGTCTCTGCAGGTCCCAGAGGGCAAAGTGGTGGTCCTTTCTTTTCGGTATTTAGACCTGGAAAGCGACAATCTGTGCCGCTACGATTTTGTGGATATATACAGCGGCCATGCCAACGGGCAGCGCATCGGCAGGTTCTGTGGCACTGTGAAACCAGGTGCCCTGGTATCCAGCAGCAATAAAATGTTGGTGCAGATGACTTCAGATGCTAATACTGCTGGAAGTGGATTCATTGCGAAGTTTTCTGCTGCAGAACCACACGAAAGAGGTAATTAACCATTATATATGTGCTGAAGACAAATACAACTCAGCTCTACCCAGAGCCACATGAATGCTTAAAAAGATGTGGTGCCAGAGATATTAAGCATTGTGCTATTCAAAATATTTATTAATTACCTTGCTTAGCAAATAGCCAAGTATAACTGTTTAGTCATCTTAGTTCATCAAGTAGTAAGGAGAAACACTTGTCAGCCTAAGAGTAGTTGAAGAACTGTACCTAGTAGTAAACTGGTAAGAGCTAGCCATTAAAAGGGCAAATGAAATTCAATATAGACATATGTTGCATATAAAGGGAAAACACCCTAACTTTGCCTACAGTACAGCAGGTTCTGAATTGACTCTTACTGTTTTGGAATGAGATGTTAGGTTTAAAGTCGATAATTTATGAAAACTACAGTTGAGCATCAATCCAGCGCTTAATAGGTATCAAAAAAAGAAACAGAAATGTAATAATTTTCAGAAAAGAAAATAAAGATCAAACAATAACATCAAAAAAACTATGCCATTATAAATCCATAATGCATGTACATCTTGAATAAAGTGTGACTCTCTGATGTTCCCATCTCAGAACTGAATATGATCAAATTATTGGAAGGAATCGGACAAGTATGACAGAGTTAAAAGAACATCACATACACAAAGATCAACTACACAGCATGAACTTCTTCATGCTGGAAAAGAGGAAGTCAAAGGGACTGTAACAGAGGGCTTTGAAGTCATGACTGGTGTGGAAGAAGTGACTGGGGACCTCAGTCCATCTCTTTCAATATAAAAACTAGACAAGCAAGTGGCTGCAAAGGAAAGGAGAGGATGATTTTTCTCTGTGGCCTGTGTACCAGGGGATATTGTGGATTGTCTGTTTCTGTCCTGGTTTAAAACCACTTACAGAAACATATCAAAGCAAAATTCATCAGGTATTACTAAACATAAAGGCATTGCCTGGCGCTTGGGAAGAGTATGGACAGTGAGAGGCTGGGAGGTCACAGGGAGGTGGTATTGCCCTAGTTAATGACCCTTTTTCAAGGCTTTTGCTATTGCTATGATGCCAGGCTAGACAGGTTGTTGGGCAAAGGCAGTGAAGGCGATGAGTAATTTATCGGGCCTTCCGCAGTTGTAACCTCGTATTGACAACTTCTTGAAAGAGACACTAAATAACTGTGACCCGATATAGTTAATTTAACGAGACAGTTCATAGTAATATTGTAAATAAGGATTACATACCTGATGGAGTTTTTAATTTGGAACTGAGGGCAGGCAATGTGGACAAAAAAGACCCCTCTCCATCAAGAGCACAGCACAGGCTGCAGTTCTTTGGGAGTGCCTGTTGGCCCCCACGGCTGCCCCGCGGGCTGCGGGGCTGGCTCCTCCAGCCGCAGCGCTCGCAGGGATGCTGTGTCCGCTCGGCTGCCGTTCCGCAGCTGTGATTTCCCCGGGG